TGCGTGCTGCCTTCGGGATTGGGGAGGGTAGGGGAGGCCGTGTGGTCTTGGAACAAGGCGGCTCTGAGGGCGGCAGATGGGGCAGGCAGCCCAGGCACACAACATGGTTGGCTCTGTGGCCCAGGGCCTACAAAGGCCTCATTGAGTCACCGCCGGCCCCCGGCAGAGGCTGAGGTGGCAGTGGCGCCGGGCGCCTGCCACCTAATGACCATCCTGGCCCGGCCAGATGTTCCACAGACCTCGGCAGCGGCCGACCAGGGCCCGCCCGGCCAGCCCGCACCGCAGAGGCCACTCTAATTCCAATTAACCAGCTTCAGCTGAGCAAACAGCGGGCAGTGGTGGCCCAGCCCGGGCGGTAGGCCCGGCCCGCAGAGCCTCCGAGTCTAGACTCCAGATGTGAACCGCCACCGCCAGAGTCCCATGGAAAAATGGCACCAGGCCGGGCATGGATTGGGCCTGCATACAAGGGAGCTAGGGGTGGATGGTCGGGCAGACCCCAGGTGGGCCTGGTGCCAGCCTCACCCCAGGATGGGGGTGGATTCTAACTACCCCAAAACCAAGTTCTGCCCCTGTTTTGTCCCTCTGTGTCTCAGTCTACCCTGACTGCAGTAGGTGGGAGGCAGCCTCAAAGGGGAAGCCAGGGTGGCTGAGAGCCCCAATCCCTCTTCATGGTATGTAACAAATGACTGGCATGCTAGCATTTTAGAAATATTAATCATACCAGGCTGTAAGGTCCCTTCATCGTTTTCACAAATCAGGAAACAGGCAGACTTGTAAGTGTCCTGGGGGAACTTGAACCCAGGCAACCGGGGCCCAAGACCATTATGTTCACCTCGGTGCTGTTAGACATAAATCTGGACCCTGGATTCCTGGTTTCCTTTCTGGAGGGCATTGGGGAAGCCGGGCAGGGTGTGGGTGGGAGAGGGGCAGCTGCAGCCTCACAGCAAGGCCGCCTTCCACAGTAAGGAGTGTTTTGTTTCCTCGGCCAAGAGGGTAAAAACTGCCTCAGGACGTGTCCGCAACTGGAGGGGGGGGGGGGGGGGAAAA